CCTATTGCTACTGAATTTTCCATCTCTCTTGCTTTCGCTACCCACCACTGTTCACGATCATTACGTATGCTTCTTGTCAGCTTGCGCTTAAGCTGACTCCGCTCTTCGTTATGTTCATAGCTAGATGGAATGAGTTTTCGAGCATCTTTCAGTGCGGTAGACGCTGCTGAGATCCAGTGTTTCTCCCCAACCTTATGGTCTACCGTACTTGCAGACGTCACTGCTGTTTCTACAGCTTTTCGGATGTCATTCCACGGTGCTTTGGGGTGGGCATCACTTAAAGGGCTGCCTAAATGTTTTTCTGGTTGTTCCTGAAATATACTCTTAGCTTGACTATCATTAAGTAGGGCCCTAAGAGGTTTCCATGAAGCGTCTTTCTCGCCTCCATAAGACTTGGTCGCCCGAAACCGACATCAATCACAATAACTAAAAGGACAGGAGAATATATAATTCATCTAACACCTGTCAGGCTGTCTACTACTGTGACTAAGCGAACAACCTATCATTATCACTCTCGCCCATACATCGGTTTTGGACATAGTATACATCATGTATCTGCTTCACCACGTCCCGGTATTTTGCGGGCTTATTTTACGGCGATGGAAGACTGTGTTGTCGCTGAAGATTAGTCGGCTAATTCAGATTGGACAATCAAAGACGAATGGAATAAAGTTAGAGCCATATTTGTGTCCGTACACCTCATGGTTTACACGTAGGCTATTACAATTCCTTCCATGGACTGGTAAAGAAGCCCGGAACCTTCTGGGACTTATACTTGCCAGTAGGGCACGAATCATTCAGGTTTAATTATCGAAAGATCCGGGATATACGAAAACCGACCATAGCTAGGTGTCACATCAATTACAATAGACAGTTAGCATTTAGTAGTCGTACATTTTCAAAACAAGTTTTCGTACATTAGACGAAGCGATGGAATTCTGCGATTATTGTTGCACGAAAATTCAAATATATTAACTGAATCAAATTTAGCTAAGTTGAGACTTTATGAAACTCTCAGCGAAGTCTATGTTACAGGTATTGTTAACAACGTTTGTCATAACCACACTACTGTGATACCAGCTACAGGACGTGTAGATGTGACTGACGAGGCTGTTTTACGATTGATCATTAACCTCAGACCTAGTAAGACAGGTTCCCAATGGGTCACATTCATGACTGCTGTCTTCTCTCGCAGACGCTACTTCAGGACCATTCACGATGCTGTTCAACATGTTCCTTGCCGACATTCAACTCCCTAGTGACTGAAATAATGCTATAGTTAGCGCTATATTCAAGTTAATTGGAAAAATACGTCGGACTAAGTCACATAGAGTTATACAATCTGTTAACTCCTGAGCAACACAGGTTTCTGAATATGCTTAACCAACTTATTGCGAGAGATGATTGGACAGCAGCCCTAGATAACAATCCGTCTCTGTGATATTCACAGACTCTAGCAAAGCACTTCGGTCTTATGTAGAAGCTCTCGGGCTTCCAGATAACAGGAGTGGATGAGAGACTTATGTGGCCGAAGAGTGTGTTATTGGGACACTACCTGGTTGATAGCCGGTTAAAAATGGAGCACCCTGAGGGTCTATCTTAAGCCCCTTCTCTACGTCAACGAATTAACGCGATTGCTTAAGTTGTCAGCACTATTGTTCGCAGGTGATGTCAAAATTTGGAGAACAATAAGTAGTAATGCTTATCACCAAGCTGACATAGATGAATTAGTTAGACGATCCCAATGTTGGGGCTTAGAATTTATTTCTAGCATGATTGTTTTTATACTCACCAGACGTGGAAATGGTTGTCAGTATTCTTTCAACGGTACATCGCTTCCATAAGTGCAGGAACACAAAGACTTTCAGGTAACACGATTTGAGAACAACTGCGCATTGCAACGCAACAGCCGCGAAAGATTTGAGAACATTATGGTCACTTAACCGAGCACTAACATGGGTTGACTAGTAAATGTTTCGAATTTTATCTCCCACCCTTGTAAAGCTACACCTATAGTACTGGGTCCAAGCGGCCAGTTCATGTCTCGTTACGGATACTGACACATCTGAACATGTTGGGACATCTTGTGGAAGGTTTTTCCGAACAGCCCCTAAATGCTCTAGTAAAGCCGAGGGCGTCCGTTCTCCCCTCACGAAGTTCTCACATAGCAATGCACATACAGCCGCTGCCATGGAATCACTACTCATTGTCTTATAGCAGCGGGGTTGTTTACAAAATTGAGAGAACAAAAAACGAATGTTCTTCGCTTCAACCGGGTTGTTAGATACGAAGGATGCACCTACTGGAGTTGGAAAGCCCTGATTCCAAACCAGCGGTGTGCAAGGGCTCCTGGGTACTGAGGGAACATATGGTGTATGAACCCATAGCTGATCATTGGCTACCATACGACTCCGTCTCCTAACATTGCTTCACTACTTTGTAGGTTAGATGTCTAAGTCAAAAACCCCCTAGGAGAACCATTTGCTTCGATCTGGGCACACCGGCAGTGTCCTAGCCTTCACACAAATCAAATGATTTGTGTGGTGCCCCCTTGTATCAATATTTGTGTTCGAATAAATAAAAAAATACCCAAACCCCTACTAGATGAATACATGAAGCGCCTGGACCGTTTCTCCCGATCGTATCACAGAATGCGAAATGACCCAATATTGGTATTTCGTATATTTAGTAATGATTTTGGTGTTAATATGTCTAGTCATCTTGCTCTGTTCAGAAATAATCATCAACCGTATTTATTTATTTGAACACATAAATATTGGTACAGGGGGGCACCAAATATATATGCGCCACACAAAACAATGATAATTTGAAGAGAAGGAGAAAAGAGAAAAAAAAGTAATGAACGTGGGGAATTATAGATAAATAAAAAAAAGAGAGAGAGAGAACAGTGATGGGGAAAACGGAAAGGTACAATCAGAAGAGATCTTTCAGTTGAGGAAGTTACAAACACTTTTTATGAAGAAAGTAAAAGGTTACAGCAGGATCGCCACTGGCTTCTATTCTGAGCCATATCTGATAACGTCTCTAGCCACTGCGTTAGGCCGTCTTTCGGACCCCAACCAGGGAGTCGTGAAATACCAACAGAAGCTAGCCCTTTGCAGCTTTCTTTCATACCACGACACCATGTCATTTACTGACCACCTCTCCGCTTTTTCCAACCAGTCCCAGAGTCGGCAAATAATGCACGACGTGGAATTCTCTGGGACGACTTTCGTAGAACATGTCCAAGCCACCGAAGTCGGTGTTTCAAGATGGTGACACCAATTTCATTATCGTCTCTGTGCCCGAATACACGATGTCGAACCTCTGCATTACTGACATGGTGTTGCCACTGGATGCCAGCAATCCTTCGGAGACAGCGATGATCGAACACAGAGAGTCGTCTAACATCCTCAACTCGGAGAGTCCAGATTTCACAAGCATAGAGCAAAACTGCTCTCACCGACGCGTTGTAGATCCGACCTTTTACAGCCAGACTAACATCACGAGGGCGCCAAAGATGGCCCAGATTGGCATAAGCCGCTCTGGCTTTCACTATACGTGCATTGATCTCATCACTCACGCCACCACCAGCACTTATGCAGCTACCCAGATACACGAACTTCTCGACTACTTCTATTTGCTCACCATCTAGAGTGAGTACAGAATTGGAATCCTGCCAGCCTTGTAGAAGTACTTTGCACTTCGAAGGTGCAAAGCACATACCATACCTACGGACACTGATTGCCAACTGATTAAGTGCGGATTGCATAGCTTGGGCATTCTCGCACAGTAAGACAATATCATCCGCATACTCAAGGCCGAGAAGTCTTTCTCCAGGCAACAGATCCACACCACCATTACTTACATCCATCAGAGCTGTTTCCAGCATGTAATCGGTGGCAAAGTTGAAGAGGAATGGTGAGATTGGGCAACCCTGCCTAACCCCACTGCTCGAATGGAATAGTGGAGAAAGGTGGTTGTATGCCCTCACTCTGCCTGAAGTGTTTGTACATGGGGCCTTTAGGATGTTAATAAACTTCTCAGGCACACGCTTCTTCAATAGACAGTCCCAGAGAACAGTCCTGTCCAACGAATCGAAGGCAGCCCTGATGTCAAGGAACACTACGATTGTTAGCCTTTGATAAGTATGGCGGTGTTCTAACATTTGGCGGAGGGTGAAGATATGATCAATACATCCTCGACCAGAACGAAACCCAGCCTGCTCCTCGCGAGTCAATCCTTCTCGGGTTTTGAACAACCTACGAAGTATAACGGAAGCCAATAGCTTGGACGTTATCGGAAGTAGACTTATCCCCCGATAGTTGTTACAGGAACGACTTGAACCCTTTTTAAAGATAGGGACAACTATCGACTCATTCCATGACGTTGGTACACTCTCTAGTTCCCAGACCTTTGTAAACAACGTCGTCAGTCCCTTAGTCAGAAAGTCACCACCATCTATAAAAAGAGCCATAGGTAAGTCATCTGGGCCCGGTGATTTGTAACGTTTCAAGAGCTGGAGTTCCTTGCGGACTTCCGCCTCATTTGGTGGATCATTCGTCACCGGCCATGGAGGGCAGGACAGTCTGACCGATGTTGCCGGAGCAGCAGGCCAGTTGAACTGCCCTTCGAAGAATTCTGCTTATCGTCCAAGACGTCGATGGATGTTAGTGATTGGCGTTCCGTCATCCTCGCAGATTGTTTCGCTCACACCAGACTTCTTGTTGCCAGTGGCTCGGATGAGTTGGAAGAGCTTCCGGTAATTACCAGATGCAGCTGCTGCTTCCAACTCACTGGCACGCTCCGACCACCAGGCTTCTCGGTCCTTACGCAAGCTTTGCCCAATTTCAGTGTGTAACATTCTTCGTTTGTGGTCGTACTCACGGTCACCCGGAGTAGACCGACGGGCTTCAATGAGTTTTAGGGAACCAGAAGAAACCCAGTGCTTGTAAGCGGGACGTTTCGCGAACCCGCAACTGACTTTACCCGCCATTTTCATGGCGTCATGCAATTGCAACCAATGCTCATCTATACTTTTCGGTGGAATGCTAGCTAGCCTAGAAGCTAGCTCGGTTCGGTGCATACTAGCAACAGAAGTTGCAGCCAGCTTGCTAACATCAATCCTGTGGTGGCGGTCACTTCGTTGTCCACTGAAAGGTAAGATTGGCGCAGACCAGAGCATGATCAGATTCCAGATAGGTACTCCAAAAGGAGCGGCAGTCTTGTACACAACCGCGCCAGCGGTAGCTGATCGCGATGTGATCAATCTGAGTCCAGGCTTGAGATGCACAGGGAGGACGACAGGTGGCATATCGGCGATGGCTGTGCCGAAAGTTAGTGCTAGCCAAAAACAGGTTGTGGTCTGTGCATAGTTGCAGTAGACGTTCCCCGTTATCTGTCCTGCTACCAACAAGTCCCCATCGGCCACCTAAACGACTCTCTTCTGTGCCTAGACGCTCGACCTGATCATTCAAGTCTCCGGCTAGTACAACATTATCTGTCGAATGCACTTTCTGGAGAAGAACAGTTAACTGGTGGTAGAACTCGTCCTTGAATGCATCCGGGCTGCAATCTGTCGGGGCATAGGCGGAGATGACGAAAAGACATCGTTTCTCACGCCGATTTCTTCTCACTTTGATGGAACTTTCTAATCTGACAGCACATAACCGACTGTTAATGGGGATCCAGTCGACTAGTGCTGCCTCAGCTCTTGCGCTTAGTGCGACACCAACGACAGCAAGACCAGACGAAGATCATCTCCGAGACCGCAGTAACAAGGTTCAAAAACTGTGATTTATATATATGACTAGATTCATGTAACTTGTTGCCAGGTCGCATCTATGTTGCGAATTTATAAACTAAATTTCTAAGTACGAAATGGTAGCGTACCTCTGGGTTTTGAACACTGAAGTATCGCACTTTAGATAAATGTATTTTCAGACTCAGGATGTAATGGATAATTGTAACTACTCACGATTAGTTCCGATATTAATTTATCATACATTCATGTGTTATTATATTTGTCTACACATTTTTCAGTTTGGTTCACTACTTAATACAAGTGAGACAGGAAAATAATTTTTTCGGAAATTTATTTACACGCACTATGAGAGATTAGAAATGTTGTTGCAATTCTTATATCACGGTAGTCATTAAAACAGGTGAAATTTGGCTACTTGTAAAATTCCAGTTCTTGTTCATCTTTCTTTAAACTATTTTTGTAACCTTTCTCAAAATCTTTTGCTAGAACAACATAACGATTTTCTCGAACTGCCTGCATTCCAGCCTAAAAAGAATAAAAGGATGAAGTAAGTTTTACAATCTGTTTTAAAGAGAAACCTATTATATAAAGAGTTAAATGAGAATATCAGTCATAAACACACTCAATAGATGGAACAAAATATCAGAACATTGGGTTACGGCAAACAAATGAGTTACTTGATAATGCAGAAATATTACCTCTTGGCAAATAGCATTGATGTCTGCACCAGAGATCTTATCTGGCCGTGCAACGTAATCTTCTAAGTCAATATCATCACTGAGATTCATTTTGCTCGTGACAGTTGAAAAAATGAGGCGTTTTTGACGACGATCTGGCATTGGGAATTCGATTTTGCGATCAAGTCGACCAGGGCGCAAAAGTGCTGGATCTAATGTATCGGCACGATTTGTAGCCATAATAACCTGGATAAAATAAATGCAACCAACTGTTATTGCCAGGTTGACGAGTGTTTTACATGGCATACAGTAACAGAGCTAGTATACCTCATTTGTTTAATGCCTACTTAAATAGGCATATGTACGAAGTTTTTGGTCGACATGATTTGCTAGCGCATAGAGAAATTAAGCAAAATTAGAAATTATCCATGTAATCTGAGAACTTCTTAGAAATCATAGACTGATGGAAGTTGGGCTACAATTGAAAACCTGAAAGCATTGAACGGCCGTTTCATCCTAATATGGGACTCTTCAGTAATACGCATACGCGACCCCGCATAGTGTACACTATTGGATCCCAGCCCAGTGGCCTAGAGATCAGGTGTTTGCGTGCGAGACAGCAGGTCTTAGACTCGATTCCTGCTTGCGACTGAGTGATCCCACACTAGGAAAAAACGCCCATCCAGTATTTTCAAGTTATCAATAGTTGTCTAATTTTGATCGGTTTTCGATTCCGGTTATATCAAATAATTCCCACAACCTAAAAATTATCAAAGTGAAGTTATCTGAGCATTAAATAAACAATACTGAGCTGGTTGATATTCATAACTGGCAGTAAACATAACGTATGAAACTCTCAATTCTAAGAAACTTTAAGTGTTACCTTTGAAAAAACTTAAGAGTCTTAATGTCTTGCACACACATCACTTTAGCAATGAAAAAGCAACGCATAAAGGAAAAACACTGAGAACTGCGATGATTTATCAAAACCAATGGTAGAGAGACGAAAATATGGAGAAAGATTATATTTTTCCACTAATATGTACTTGAAAAAATCAAGCACTGAGTTATAGTATTTAACACCAAATAATGATAGTGAAAATACTTGTTCCTATTTATAGTGAATGCGATCCTGTTTAGGTTCCTGGTTATCAGCACTATGGCCTTAGTGAAGTACAAAAATACATAGTAGCCCAAGTGATTATAATAACTCTTGCTGGAATGTTTCGCAAGCTAGTAAATTCCCAATGAATAAGGCTGTATCAAATGATGTGACTACTACTTGTTTAAATAATACATAATTGGAAAATGCGATTTAGATTTATGAAGTTTTGAACAAAACAACTCGGCGTCATTCAACCTTGGATCTCGTCTCTTGCAAAAAATCCGTTGAGGAATAGGACCGTGGATCGGAATTAAGAAAGATCTTTCGAAAAAATGAAACGATTCAACAGAAGGAACTTGTAGTATTGACAATCCATATATCATATAAACAAGTGGGGTTGTGAATTTCTGTACTATAAAAATATACCTGTCCAGAAAACTTACTTTCACATTTACATTTTGGTCGAATCCGTCCATTTGGTTCAACAGTTCTAATAGGATACGCTGTACTTCACGGTCAGCTAGTGATAGTAATAATAGTAGCGAATGGAACATAATTAGAATACTTACGAAACAGTTGTAAATAGCAAATATCAGAATAACACCTAGTGTGTAATTTGAGCTGCATTGCTTGCACTTCACTGTCGAGTGGTAGTCTAATGGTTACGGAGTTCGACTTCCAAACACTAAGTCCCGGGTTCAAACTCCACTCACCACCCGATATTATTGCTCCTAACAATTAGTGTGGTTTAAGCCCACCCAAGTACCTGGTGAATAATTCGATTTAATTAAAATTCATTTTACCGAAATTTAACCCATTTGTTCCTTTTGATTGATGATTCAGTTAGCCTTAAATTGAACCTAATAAATATGATAGCCTCATTTGCTATATTTCGTGCTGACAGCAAAAAAGATATTAAAGCAATCGTACAAAAACAACAACGAGGACATTATTTACGAAACAGAGATGAATTAAAAAACAAACGAGGTGCATAAACAAATTGAACGTGAAAGTAGATGATATTTGAACGAGAATCGCTTTCATACTTAAACGTGCGCCTAGATACTTCCTTCTTCAATACGCGATTTTCGTGGTCTTATCTTTAAAACCGAAGTTTTAATTGTGCCTTGAGCACATTTTAGTTAAGATCTAAGAATATTTGAGAAATTTTGACAAGATACATTTTGTACATTGTCTAAATTGTCCTCTTAGATTAATACTGCTTTTTACTTTATTTATTTATTTGAACACATAAATATTGGAACAAGACGGCACTAAATATATATGCTCCACACAAATCTCACTTAATTTGTGTGTGGGCTGTGATACTACCCAAAGGCCCAGACCGAGACAGGTGGAGATGCAGTCCCACAGTAGCCAATCACCAACGATTGGTTCATACGCCATTTGTTCCCTCTGGATACTGGAGTCTATGTGCACCATTGTTTTGGAATCAGGGGTTTACAACTCCCCTAGGTGAACTCTCCATGTCCACCAACCCGGTTAAAGCGCCAGGCATTCGCTTTTCGTCCTCTCAATTTAGTAAGCAACGTCCCCACCACGAGAAGGCAGTGAGTAGGACTTCCCTGGCAGAGGTTGTATACGCGCAGCCGTGTGGGAGCATTTCGAGAGGGTGAATGGACTCTCCCCACTCTCGGCCATACCAGCTAATCATATAACCAACTACTGGAAGTGATTCAACCTAAGAGTACACTGTTTATGCACAAAATCGGTTGTACACTACATGTTTGCAAAACCAAAAGTCACTGGCCAAAAGGTTTTAAGAAACATTGTAAAAATTTAGTATGGGAGTTAGAGTTAGCGTAGCTAGATCTTATATGTGCGGTAGGAAAACATAACATGAGAACATTTGTTTGATATTGTAGGATTTTGCGGTGTTGTTGATAAATCCGAACTTTCTACGCCTCTGGTAGTTATCCCGACCGTTGTTGCTACCTTGACGTGGTGGTCGGGCTTGCCTGTCGTGATGAAGCAACTGAGCTATACTGGCCGGAACAACCTTTCCTCAAGGTCCTACCATGCCAGACAGGTTAGTTGAAGAGCGGTAAGACTAAAAGCAACAAATCCAAGGTCCGAAGGCGAAGTCGTACTGCTGACTGTACAGAGGTGTAACAACAGTAAGGTGTTTCCTTCAGACAACCAGCATAACAGCGATGCTGCCTTCCCACAAGGAGGGGTGGGGTTAGAAAAGGTCGACCCTAAAATGCACACCTCGCCTTATCCCACGGATATCCGTCTCCGGCGGTAAGGTCTCAACAAGTACGGAGCTAACACAAAAACTACTCATAAAAAGGTCGTGTGTGACCGACCTCAAGCAGCTGTCCCTTGGGCACTGCGGTCACGCTCTCAGGTCACTAAGACCAACTCTAATCCAATTTCCCTTTCAGGTACATCCAGAAGAACTATTCCACTGTGTGGGTAACCGGGAAGTGATAACCGCCCTCATACCTCTAACAGCACTCAAGACCACTGTATTCATAATCAACTTCCCTCTTCAATTCCTATTATTCCTCCTACATCGACTTTCTACACTAAACTTCCTCTTTTGGATTCCTCCACAAGTGTCACCATAGCCAACAATTCTAGTGCGCAAAACTGTCCCAGCTCTAATGAAACCTCGCTCCAAACTACACATTGGAGCCTTCAACGTACGCACACTATGTCAAATCGGTCAGCAGGCCTCCTTGGCTAAAACCTTAGAACCTTGTACCATTGATGTATTCTGTCTCCGAAACACATATACAGGATCCTAGTATGGTCATTCACTTGATCGGTGATCGTCTGCTGCAACTGTGCTCAGAC